ATAAGTGGAGATAAGATATACCTTGCGTGACCTTATCTTGTCGTAGGGGTTCGCGAAAGGTATGGCTAGCACTCTGTCAGAGCGGCAACGCTTTGCGACGAAGTCCTGCAAAATTCTGCGTGACGTGACAGAGAGGGTTCCCTTGCGGGGCCAATGCGTTCGACAACAGGGATAGTGGTGGTTTAACGACACACAACCTTATGTTTGAAAGATTCAACAATTTTGTTTGCACGGTGGTTATAGGCGAAGTTGAGAAGAGCTTATAACGGTCGTACGTTTGTGCTTACAAAACAATTTAGATTTCTTGTTAGGATTTGTATGCTGGGATGTGGATGTTATATAGAAGAAAGTTGAGGCATCGCAAATTGCAGCACACGAATTCTTGTTAGTAGAGCGACCCCTACCACTCTTCTGCAGGTAGGGTGAGCAACCGCATCCACAATCGTTTGGCGTCAAAAGGTTAACCTCTTAGCACGTGTGCAAGCCAGCACTTGAGTATTAAATGCAACCCTCTATACCATGAAGAGTTGCACGATCATGGGCACCACATAATACGTCGTCATATTGGGCGCTCATACATTTTTGCATAGTAGGTGGTTATGACGCCGCCTACGCTGCCCTGCTACTTATCCGAAGTCGTGCGGGGGATAATTGATCGCTCAGTTAGCAAAGAAATTATAAGACGAAGTAATGAGGCCGGACTATGTTCTTAAATATGTGTTCGTGGCCAGATATCGTGTGGTTACATCGGATATCGTATTCGACCGGCGCAGGGCAGTGCCTTAAGAGATCAGCGCCCAAGGCGTCAGTTTACGTGCAGGCTAGATTTGACCATTAAGCGCACGTACCCCCTTCGCTATAGCGCACGAGAAACACCCTCATGTGCCCACCTTTCCAAATGCAAGTAAAAGCTCTCGGATCAGTAGCTCGGCGAGGATACGACCACGTAGGGATGGTGGCAACTCCCATGGGTGGAGGTAGGTTATACCTCACGAGGCTTTGTCCTATCGCAGGTTCTCGTGAGAGGTGTGGCTGATGCACTCGATCGAAGCGTCACTGCTTCAATGCTTTTGCGTCCCGAATGCCAAAATTTTGCATGACGCGGGCGGGAGGGTCCTCATGAGACCGATGTGCGCGACACCATGTTTACATCTGCAGTTGATTTCACGTATGAAGATCGCTTTCGTGTCACGGTTACGTCTGTAGTTACTTTCACGCTATGTAGTCGCCTTCACGCTTGCAATTGTATTTGCTTTTATACCCATGCTCGTGACCGTCACCACTTATGCCCATGGTCACCGTGACAACCCTCTCAAAGAAGAAATGACAGAAAAGGAAGCGAGGGAGAGAGAAAGAAAATAAGAAGTTGAAGAAGTGAAGGAGCACAGGAAAAAACAATAATAAGTGTCCAATAAGAACAAAACATAACACCCTCATGAGTTCCGGTGGAGCTCCCGCAATCAGTGGATCAACTTCCACAGGCAATCCGTGAATTGCCATCCCACTTGCTGCCTTCCTCTCTCAAACCCGGACTAGACTGAGAGGAAGAAGGGCGCATAAAGAAGTCATAGTCACTCAAGATATCAAAATTGTTCCCTTAGACTCGCATGAAGAGGACTTTGATACTCTTGTACCCTTAAAAATACACATAGGCGTTGTTGCAGTCGAGGCGACTGAGTTCTCTATCGCCGCATACTCGTCTTCCAACATGTCATTAGGCCCTCCTCACCCCTCCTAGTTGATCTCCTTCTGACAACAAATTTGTCCTTAACCGACCTTTGACGTTGGCCCAAACGCAATACCAGGTCATTCTTTATAGTTGGTCAACTCCTAGTAGTAGACCACCCTCTACAACAGGCTAGCTTTCAGGAGGCCTTCTCAACAAAATATCATCTCAACTTTAGGTAAATCTCAACATATTAGGTATCTTGTAATAGTCTTCCCCCCTGCTCACTTATCCCTTCCCCCCAAGCGTGCATCAATTCTTCAGTGTTAGCCATAATAGGCTGTGAAAAAAAAGAGGGTGGATAGTGTCGCAATTACAGAGGAATGATGGTTCAAACCAGTCGAATAGACTGGGTGTAGTAGTCTTCCCCCCTGGTCACTTATCCCGGGCCCTTCCCCCAAAGCTTGCATCGATTCTTCATGTACACTAGATAGTGTAGTTTGAGCCACAACACTTGGTTCGGTGCTAGCCACAATAGGCTGTGAAAAGGAGGAGGGTTGAGAGTGTTGCAGTTACAAAGGAATAGTGGTTGCAACCAGTCGAATAGACTAGTTGTCAGACCGAACAAGGTTTGTGAAGAAGTAGTCTATGACAAAATGGGTTAATCTAAGGGTAATATATGTCGGTAGGGTAGATAAGGGAGCATTGGGGTAGGATAAGTGATACAAAATCATTTGTTATGTTTCAAGTAGCTTAAGCGAAACCAAGTAATGCTCTCAGGATAACTTCGGGTTGAATTGTGAGGTTTCTGCCTCGTGTTTGAATTTTGCATATGAATGAACCGTCTTTAGCAAAAAAAAAAAAAAAAAAAAAGTTGTAATTTATTATAGAAGGGTTGAAATTATGCTTAGTAGAGTACTCAAATTTGTCAAAGGCTATAGTTAATTGATCTAAATTTATGTATTTCCTTCCTATTGGATTCACTCCAACTATTGAATGGGGCGTGAAATGCATTGCCATTGGCAATGTTGAGCGATATTTAGTAGTGTAAGTGACCCCGAGACGATGTGTGAAAACTCAAAATGACCTACGACAATAGAGAATCGCCCAAAGAATCTTTGTTTGAGGCCCAACCAAACACCTATCATTGTTTGGCTGGGCCATAACTACAAATGTAGTGTTGTTCAATCTCTTATGGTTCGTGGGGACTGTCAGAGCCCTGGGCAAACAATTGGTCAAGATTGTCCGACGAGTAGCGACCAAGTTTATATGGAAACCTTCATAAAAGATAACGAAGGTCTCATTTCCAAGGTTGCTTGAGAGTTAATTTGCCACCCTCGATCAAGAATGCACAATTGGATAACTTGTACTGCACAGAGGACAAGGAGGAAAAATCCCCTTCCTACATAGCAAACCGTTGGGGAACCTGACCTAAATCAAAGTACGAAAAGTTTGTAACCAAGATGGCAACTGGCAGTGCACTTTGTGGGCAAACAGGACGTCGGTCCGCAAGCTAAGATTTAACCCTAAACTCTGGCATTGGAGGGGCTCTTGGAAATTTCCCCAGGAAGTTTGGTTATCGGACTACTCTTTAGCAAGAGGCTACGACCTCATGCAAACAAGTAGGACACCCATCGCTGTTACAGTCTGCAGGTGGTCATAAGTCAACACATTGGTAGACGGTATAACGTGCCAAAATGTGAGAACGGTGTTGGGTGAAGCTGCAAAAGTTGCCAATGAAAGTAGTCGCCGCTATCCTTTGGTTGCTCTCACTTTTGTCAACCCCCTTGATAGTTTGGTTGGTCGAGAGAGGTATAAAGGTTGAAATTAATTGTTCAAGATGTCGCTGACCATCCGAATCTACCATGTATTTTCGGCTAACCTATCCCTTATCGCAAAGGATTTGAAAATGGTGGAAGGAACACTAGGACCGCATTAGTGGCCCAATGTTCATATGGGATGACCAATGAATTTTGTTTGGTGGAATCCCTGGTGACCTCGCCAAGGATAAAGGCTGGGGATACGTGGCCCAAGCGCTCAGAGCATGTTTGTTCTTGGTTAGTTGGGACGTACGGATGGAAATGTCTTCGACCGTTGCTTCCCCTCAGACAATTCAATAAAGTCGTCAATCAAGCTTCGCATCTGACGCAACATCAAGAGTGATTGGCGACGAAAGATCTTTGCCTCTCGTCAGGGAGCTGCATGTCTGGTGTAGTTTTCAAAGACCTGGGTAATTCAAGGCCGGTTGGCCAAGATTCAAGAGGGTAAGTTGAAATTGGATGAGTGGTTGTTAGGTGATGAGTAATTACATGGGCGCTTGGTTAAATCCTCCTCAGTAGGAGGACAGTAGTTTGCGGGAAGTGGGGTCTGTTGGGAGTGCCGCCTCGTTCATAGAAGCCCAGAGCTCCACCACCCCGTGTTAGGGGTGGCCCGGAGGAAGCCAAGCAACTATATAGGTTCGATAATGATGTTGGTTTTGGCTGTTGTTGTTTGTCTTGGGGGTTGGTCCCCGTGGGGTTTCACCCCGTAAGTGAAACTGGGTAATGCTCCCAGCGGTTCCATCCGGGTAGACTGCGAGGAAACAACAAAACGAAGATGGGCATCTCCAGGGGTTAACCAAAGGCGTGGAAGGCAGCCTAACGTATTGGATCAGGCCCCCATTGTTGTTACCCCCCACGTTCTTCCCGCCCGTGGGGGGTAAATAGGATGAGAGTGGCCCGATGGAATAACAAAAGTGTGGTCTGATTTCCATGCCTGGACTTGTAAGACAAACTTGCCGGGAGCCCGTTTTGTCGGGCCCGAGGTGGAAAAGCCTCAGGGCAACAAGGTCGTGGTCACAACGATTGCCGGTATGTTCTTGCTTGGAATGGAATGGACTGGTACGTGCCCTGGTGGCGCGAGCAGCGCGAGGATGGCAGCAGTGGACCTGGCGGAAGACTTTCTGCCCGGGGGCAGGAATTGTAGGTGGACTACTGGTATGATATCAGCGCGTCACAGCGGGTGGCGGGAAGGGGGAGACCGTAGGCGGAGGGGAGGGGGGTCGGGGGGGTCGGGGGCTGGGATGGGCCTTTTGAGCCGAGCCCCCGGTGTTCCTCCGAAGCAGAAAATTTCTGCCAGCTTGTATTCCTGCGCAATCTCGCGTGCGTACCGAGGTTCCGCTAGTTTCATCCGTCGCACCGGCGAGCGCAAGCGGGCACAAGCAGCAAGAGCTGGCAATTTGGGGCGCGGGCGCGGTTCGCAGAGGGTGGAGAACGGCAGGGGGAAAAGTCCGGCGAAGGGAGCGGTGAAGGGGATGGCGAAGGCGCGAGGGTTTTGGAATGGAGTTAGAGGGTGAGGCGTTGGGAGTGGTGGGGACCATCAGACACGCTTGCATGTGCGGCGATAGCAATCTGTGAGAGAAGGGTTGTGGTTTCAGGGTGATTACGAGGACGAGAGAGACGGTGAATTGAATGACTGTGTACTCGTGAGCCAAAGGGTCATTTTACGGGTTTTGAAGGAACTTGTCGTGGAGAAGGAGCGGTAAGCGCGAAGGTCATCGGATCCCGCTAGAACGAAGGAGGAGGAGGAGGAGGAGGAGGAGGAGGAAGGGGACGAGAAAGAAGAGGAGAAGAAAGGAGGAGAAACCAGAGAAGGAAGAGGAGGAGGAAGAGGAGGAGGAAGAGGAGAGGAGAGGGGGAAGAAGAATAAGGAATAAAAGAGGAACGCAAATTAAGGGAGAAAACCCGGTGGTGGTGTTTTCAAGTGATCTTCTTCGTCGACGGGAACGCTTTATGTTAGTGTTGAGGTCTCGGGAAATCTGCCGGCTAATTGTTTGTGGAGGTGTGTTTTTTTTTTACCTGCTGCTTCTCCATCTGTCTCCCTCTCCCTCCCCCTCACTCGCTGAGCTCTTGTTCTCTCTCTTCGCTTTTCTGCCTCTCTCTCTCCCTCACACACTTGCTATCTCACTCTCTCTCTCTCTCTCTCTCTCTTATTCTGTCGATGGTCTGTGAAAGGCACACATGCGCAGAGTGTGTGTGTGTGTGTGTGTGTGTGTGTGTGTGTGTGTGTGTGTGTGTGTGTGAGAGAGAGAGAGAGAGA